TATATATATATATATATATTTGCCTAATTGATATTTTAAGTATGGTAAAAATAACATTTTACTAGTTTACTTGATAATTAATTTCGCTTAATATAACTGCACACATTTTTAGTTTAACACAGATGTTGTCAAACTTGATAGAAGTACAACGCAATCGAAAAGTTTATTATCAGCTATCGTTAACTATCGTATGGTAATTATGGACGCTTAAATCGTTGCTTAATTGTACGATAAAGCGGGAATAAAACGAAATCTGGGGTCGTTGGCATTTTAATGTGCATATATCAATCCTTTCTTGGCGAATTGCAATGTAAATTTGTATAGAATATAAATAAGATGTAGTTGTAAAATGTTGTAACAGATTACGTTATCATATGACACTTGTGATGAAGTTTGATTTATTTATTATTTATTGATTATTGATTATTTGTATTAAATTATCATCAAAATCATTTATCAAATAGGGAGAAAAAGAGAGAAAACGGCTATTATTACATTAAATTTTAAATAACATTTTAGATGATATAAAGGAAATCTAGCATAATTATATGTTGCAACAAAGTTAGTCAAGAAAATGAATGTGATATTATTGTGAAATTATTATACTATTGCAAACTCGATAATATAAATCTTATAAATATTTTTTAAATTTTTTAATTATGAAATATTCTATCAGAATGACAATATTACTGTAAAGATTATTTCAACGAGACACTATTCATTATGCCACTACTAATCCAGCGTTTGTTTTTTTTTTTTTTTAATACGAGAAATTTATATCTACCCAGCAATCAAAATCCTCTTTTTAAATCGCGTACAAATCCTTGAATCTCGCGAAATCATCGTCTTCGAATATTTGTCAACGGCGTTCCACGATCAGGGACAAATATGGAGTCCTTCGACTGTCGCCATTTAACATCCATCTTCGGTTGGTTCAGTCAAACTATTGGAATACCGCGGATATCTTTCTCACGAAATGCTTATTCTCACTCTCTCACTCTTCCCCTATATTTCTCTTTCTCGCAATGTTAACTTATGTATATGTGGAAGAAGAAGAATTATAGCATTCTCTCGTGGATGTCTTGCCCTTGGCAATAATCGTCACGATCGAATGTCTTCCCCACTAACTAGCCAAAAGAATCCTATAAATGTTCTCGGTAGTCTGTAGACGAAGAAGTTACCTCTCGGGATGCGCTCCCGAATGAGGCGTGTATCCTCATTTTAAAGTGTCCGTTTATCTCGATTTTTTTCTTCGATAATTATCGCAACAAAAGAAGCATGGTAAGTAGCAATGCGTGGACTTAAAGTGATATGAGAGAAAATAGATACGGACAATCGTGGAGATGAATGATGAACTTGAAAGAATTACGAGTTTTTTTATTGTCGGAGAAAGTGTTTGAAAAGTGAAATAAGTGATCTTGTAAAGAATCTATTCGAGAATCGAGGCCGAAAGATGAAATTTATACAAATTTATTCTTCATCGTTCGTCGATTTTTTATGTTGATGTCCTGAGATTTTTCGAGATATTTATGTCTTGTAATAAAATAAGTAACTGGGCAAATGAGAACCAAAGCGCGGTAAATAAAGCGCAATCACATTCTTCAAGCAAATCTTTTTTAATTGCAAATTATCAAAACGTTTCGGTCCTTGTTTCGGATCATCTTCAGTCGAATTATAAACACAGAAATGTAACGCAATACGGTCGCACTGCTCTCAAAATCTCCGATCACATCACAACCATATCGCGTTAGATTTCTGTGTTTATGATTCGACTGAAGATGGTCCTAAGCAAGGACCGAAACGTTTTGGTAACTTGTAATTAAAGAAGATTTCTTTGAAGAACGTGATTGCGTTTACTTACCGCGCTTTAGCTCTCACTTGCTTAGTTACTTATTTTATTATGTTTATTTCATTAGAGTCTTTTTTGTTTTCTATCAATTTATGTCTTATGTGAAACATACCGCCGCAACTGGTACAAACGCAGAAAAACTACGAAAAATTAAACGAAATGCTAAAGTAATATCCTTGATTTTTATTTGGCAAAATCTTATTTGGCACAATTCTTTTCTATAATTTTTTAGATTTTTTTATTTGTTAAACTATAAATTAAGATTTTTTTAAAGGTAAAATAAGGTTTTAATATCTTTTTGCTTCACAAAATTTAATTCGATACTTCATCTTAAAGACATTTCATTAATTTTTAATAGTAAATTCTTTTAATCTTTATAAAAAAGAATTCCATAAAAAAGTTTTATAAATATACTGCCGCTTTTACTGTTACGTTTATTTTTTATGGGACATTTGGACGTTTCGAGATCAGATTTTTGTTGTGTCGCGATAACGCATAAAATTTGAGATAAAGATATCTTTTTTGTATAACAATAAAATTTTTAAAAAGAACGGCATCTCTCTCCGTAACTGATTTGCCGATTTGTTTATCTTTATTTTTGTAAAAATCATCTGTTTTATCTCTTCTTTTATAAATGCTAAAAACATTTTATGTAAATGAAATATTATTATCAATCTCCTTTTGCGTAAAATTTATTTTACAATGTTAACTAATTCGTAAATTTATTTCAAAATAATCTTGCATCGATGACGCAAACACTACTACAATCGGGAAATATCACTCATTAGGGATTTATATAATCATATTTCTACAAATTCCAGTGATTAAATTAATAAAATATAAAATAATAAATATAAATTAAAATTAAATAAAGAAATCGTAAAAACGTGTAACGTAAAAACACAATAAGTTAATTATTCGAGCGATTATAATGAAAGTTATGTTACAGTGGAAATTGCTGTGGGTGGCCGTCCTAGTGGCCGTGCTCTCCACATATCATGCAGATGCAAATCATGAGAAAAACAAACGTGCGATAAGGAATAATTATCAGATTTCAAATTTACCGATTCATTCTTCTTTGTAAGTGTGTTCAAGCATCTTGAAACTTGAATTTTTTTGTATAATAACTATTAGTATAATTAAATTTATTCTTAAAAGCATCTTTATTCCTAATCGTGATTAATTTATAATAATAATAAATAATAATTTTTTATCAAGCATTACGTATTAGTAAGCTATAATTTCGTTAACAGAAAAGGACAAGATGCCATAGTGATTGAGTCGGATTTTTCGGGATATGAGTATACAACCCCAAAACCGACTGGCTATGTTTATACTCGGGGATATGTTTATGTAACTCCGAATGTTACAATATTGACTCCAACTACAACAACTACAACAAAAAAGCCGTATGGATATATTTTATAACTCCAAATATTACATTATTAACTACAACATGAATACCAGCATCGTATTCCATTTCCCTTTTTCGCGAATATTTTATGCACATTTTCTAATTTTAATTATAAAATTTTATACACTCTATAGTCAAGTAAAAATTATCTGTTATCGCGTCCCGATCATCTGTCGTCACAATCCGATTGACCATTTAATCATCTATATAATGACAATGCAATCGATTATTTATTATCAATGTGGTTTATTTCTTTGAAATACATTTTGTTTTTGCAGCCTATCTATCTTTTCACCAAACGCTACTAATTAATTCATTTATTTAGCTTCTTAAATATTATCATTCGAGGAGATTACCACTTGAATCGTAAATACGACAACAACGCTTTTTACTGTCAGGTCTACGCCAGGAACTGATTATTTACCGCCAAGGACTACACGATCAACGACTACAACCACCACTACAACTACACCATCGACGACTACAACTACCACTACAACTACACCATCGACAACCACCACCACAACTACACCATCTACAACTACAACTACCTTCAAGCCGACCTATCTGCCCCCGTATGAGCGAACATACCTTCCACCACCGGAACCTCCGAGAGAGTATCTACCAGTGAGGCCAACGCTGATGCCATATCCAACAGTCAGATACGAAACGATTAGAACACCAAGAACAACTCTTAGGCCATTTAAACCGTTTCAGATACCAGGTCCACGACCGACCTTACCGTCGAGCACGACGCAGGCTGTATTGATACGAGGTTACGAGTACTTACCACCTAAAGAATATCTACCCGCCTTCAAAACCCGCAAATGATGAGATCTGATAACACAAACGATTTGATGAGCATTGTCAATTAATGAAATGCGCAAATCTTAAATATTAATAATATTAATATTAATAACAAAAATATTATTTGATGCCCAATGGTAACGCTGAGTCCAAACACGGAAAAAAATAAATTTTTTTGTAAAATTACTATTTGTATGCATAGTTTCTTGTCTTAACATAAAATGTATTTTTCGACAGTGATATGGACAAAAAACAAGACTATATATTTAAATTTTAATATACAAATATTATATATTGAAAAGATTCATACACACATACACCTCAAATCAAGAAAAAATAATATAGAAACAATACTCTCTCTTTCTCCCTCTCTTTGTCGCTCTCTCTATCGAGATACTGAATAATATAATACTTAAAGTTACAAAAATAAACTTATGTTTTATACTTAATAATACTTATTAATTTACAACTAATACGTAACAAATATAATAATAGGGGCAATGCTATTAATGTTTGTTTTAGAATGAAAGTTTCTATTTTTTTTTGTCAATATATCGACGCATTAATTATTTAACATTCTAATTATTATATAATTAAAATGTTCTACGTCATATATACATAAAATATATAATAATAGAAACTAAAAGAATGAAACTTTAGATAGAGATATTTTAGGTAGACAATAGAAATAAAAAATAAAGATTTGATGTCACACATATCTTAAAAAAATTAACTCATCATATAGCTATAAATAGTTGAAGGTCTCATATTTTTTCGTTGCACTAAAAAAATGCATTGGTAACGAACTGGTTGTCCTTTGGAATTTCCAAATTTTGATGAATTCAGAAATGTGGAAGGTAATATTCAAAACAATTTAAATGCAAATATGCATAATAATTCTTAAATTCTTAAAATTCTTAAAATTCTTAATTCTTAAACATTATTATTAGTACATCTTAATTATAACGTTTCAGTTTTTATCCTTTTTAATATAACTTAATTTTAATAGAGTTCGAAAATTTATTAAATATTTATGTAACTAAAAATTTATATACATATGTAT